CCCTCACAACCACACGGGGCCCTCCAAAACTTCGCGGCAAACACCTGCCTGCGATGGACAGAGTACCTGCCTGTACGTGGCACCTTTTCCCTGCACATCTGGTGGTACCCCTGGTGCATGCCCATGAATGCAGGTAGCATGTCCAGAAGGCCAGATCACTCATTATAGTCACCCGAAGTGGCTCCTTGCTTTAGCACTGCGTTTTGGTCAATGGCATCAGTGGCAGCTTCCAAAAGATTTTTCTCCTGACTAAGCCCAGGACCTTCTATTCACATGTGCAGCCCTTCGTCACCCTTCTGTTGTCGTCGAGGAGGCCGGTAGCGAGCTTCTTATCTTCGAAGTGGCCTGAGGTGCATTCGCCTGGTCACTCAGAGACGTCGAAAGACGAGTCTCTGACGCGCAACAACGGTACGCGTGCTCGCTTCAGGCTCAACAGATAGCCAGTCTGCCGCCTATAAGAGCCGCCTCGCCCGCCCGTCTCTCCTTCTTCTCTTCACCTCATTTCCTGCTTCAGTGCTACTGCCTTCTTCAACCACTTTCAGCAAGCACATTCAGACGAGGTCTTTCATACACCACAAGATGCTTTCTAAGCACCCCCAGATACCTTCCATGTTCTCTTCAACGGTTGCCTCTCGAGCGGGCCGCCACCCGTCTCTTCCCAGGCCGGCGCCTTCTTCATCTCGCTCACCAATCCCTCCTCGAGCGGGCCGCCACCCGTCTCTTGCCAGGCCGGCACCTTCTTCTTCGTCTCGCTCACCAACTCCTCCTCGAGCCCACGTCATCCGGGTTCCCAAGAGCATGGGTCTTCGGACTCGCGCCACCTCTCCAGTCGCAGCTGCTGCCCCTAAGAGGACCGCCATCAGCAAGCCAGCACTGCCACGCGCTCCAGCGCGAGCGCCGTGGCAGCCACCAGTCGTTGAGCCACGATTGCCCAACAGGTTTCGCCCGAGAAGACCTCAGATCACGCGGGAGGCCGCTACAGTGGCCAGGAGCTCTCTGAGCTCTTCGGAAACCACGGCCAGCACTCGTGCTACTCAGCGACCTGCTCTGCAGACCGCCACGGGATCGCGCCCTGTCCGCCTAGCCAGCCGTCAGGTCTCGACCGAGTGGACGCCTCCGCCACCGGCTCCAAGGCTACAGGCCACTCGTGTTGCTCCTCAGCAACCTGTTCTGCAGACCACCGCTAGACCACGCCCTGTCGGCCCAAGCACCCGCCAAGTATCGACCGAGCGGACACCTCCTCCACCGGCCGGATGGTTTTGGACTCGCAATGCTCCTGCAAAGGATGCAAAGGTCCTCACAGTCGACAAGCCAGCGCCTTAGGTACGGGTCACTGAGATCATTTTGGACAATCCAAGGTATCTCGTACCGGGCAAGCCAGCGCCTCGGTTACGGATAACTCGGGGCCTTCCAAATATACCGCAGGTCCGACCATCGCCACCGATCTGGCCTTGGAAGTCTTCGATGAAGCAACCTGGGGCCAGCAAGCCAAAGAAGACGGTGCGCTGGGGCTGCCCAGAGCGCTACGAGTGCTACTTTGACAACTCAGAGCCGCTCGACAAGTCACAGCTGTGGTTCTACCCTGATATTGGCGCCAAGAAGCCCGTCGCATGGGAGCAGGGGACACTCGACGCACCAAAGTTGAGAGACTATCAACACTTTGGAAGAGTGCCCTCAGGGATGACGGTACCACGGTGTGTGCATTCCGTCTCCCAAACATGCGGGACCGATACCTCTCGGTCCAGGCATTCTACAAAGAGCAAGCCGGGGATTTCCGTTCCGTCATTGATCGTGATTATCCCGAAGTCAGGCAGTCACCGTTCACTGGCTTCTATGGGAAACGGGTCACTGGGACGGAATGGGTATGGGACGGTGTCCTGCTGAAAACCTCCGGTCAGCAGGCTTTACCAGTAGAGGCTTTCGGGAATTGCAAACGCACCGAGTCGGGGATCTGGCAGTACTGGAGTGAGGCATTCCAGACATTCAATCAACCATGTGACAGGGTTGGTGGATGCCAGGACTACCGCAACTGGGTTCGGCAGGGGTCTGAGGCCTCCAGTGTTGTTTGCGGCTGCGAAGAGAAGTGGTACCGCAGATGTACGATGGGCAAGGGGAAGAAAGTCAATCCATCCCGCCTCTTTGAGTTCGAAGATCCGAAACTACCGCCCCTCAATAGTCTTCGGGTGTACACGACAGGCCCGGACAACGGTAGGGCGACCATCTGTTTGAAGTCTGGCACTTCGGAGTCGGACTCTATATCGCTCTTCTCCGACGACGCCCGGGAACGGGCGGCCACACCGGTTCTCGAGTGGGTTCGCGAGCAGGTCCGGATTCATGAGTACGGAACGTGAAGATGAATGGCTATCATTCCTTCTTTCTTCATGGCTCCTCTCACGACATGAGTACGTCCGTTACATTTCCACTCCTCTCCCTATTTCGATCTCAGCTCGATGACTTCGATCGACTTTTCACGGTCGTGCATTGGCCACTTCTCAATACTCTCCCCAGTGTGGCAGTGTGGCCTAGGTTATCAAAAACCTCCAATAGAGACCTGGTGACGGTAGCTCCTCCTTGTGACAGCAGGTGGAGTGCAGCAAAGACCTAGCCGGTGTCATATTCTACTTACAGTTGTGTGTCATCTCAAAACACTCTCCAGCGGCGGCCGGGAGTTGATGCAAGAACCTCAGCTGTGCCCCTGCATTCCGGTTCTGACTGTCGAGTCGATTGCGGGGATCAGTCGGCAATGTCGAGCGGACGGAGTCGGCCAGTGCGGTGCGGCGAAGAGGCTCAGGCCATCACCAGCGGCCGTGACGACCGACGATGACTGCGAGACGATGCCAACATTCGAGAATCGGTCGACGACGCCGTACGAACCGAGGGGAGGATAGGCTACATACTGGTTTCCATTTCCAGACTTCATTTCTTTCTGCCTTGTTCTGTTTTTCTTTTGTTTCTGTTTCTTAGGTTTTGGTTCTGCTCTTCGGTTATTGGTTTGCATTTTCCTTGCTGCTTTCTTTTCTTTTGCGCTTTTCTTTGCCTTTGCCTTCGCTTTCTATTTAGGTTTTTAGGTCTACTTTGGTACTGCTAACTGCACAGTTTGGATGGATCAGGACAGTCGGCAGTGTTCGAGCGACCGGTCGAGCCGGACGGAGCGGTGCGGCGAAGAGGCTCAGGCCATACACTAGCGGCCGCAACGGCCGACCACCGGTTTTGAGGACGATGCCGACCGAAGCGATGGATGTGGTCGGAACGGAACGGAGGGCGACGACGTTGGGAGGAGCGGTGAGGCGGACGGCTTCGGCATCGACCGGCGACCGGCGACCGCGACGATTGACAACGACGCCGGCCGAGTCGATCGATATTGACGAATTTTTTTAACGGACAGCTTGGATTGCTTTCTTTCACTCTTCATCGGTCGCGCTCATATAGGCACAGGTTTTTCCATTGTGGTCAGAGATGGATGGTGGAATAGAGAAGTAGCTTTCCTTCAACCTGAATAGTGCTAACTTCTTGTGATAGTGGGATATGAGGTTCGGTATCGATGACGACGCCCACCGAGCCGATCGATGTTGGCGAATTTTTTATTTTTTATTTTTTATTTTTTATTTTTTATTTTTTATTTTTTATTTTTTATTTTTTATTTTTTATTTTTTATTTTTTATTTTTTATTTTTTATTTTTTATTTTTTACAATAACGGGTCGTCCTTTAGCCTCCATTCTCTCTTCTGTGGTCATGCTGATGTAATACAGATGTTTATTCCGTTGAGAGAGGATACGGGCGGCGGAACCGTGAAGCGTCTCTCACATTGGAGCACGCTAACGTTCGCTCCAGTCACACATACGCCATATTCCGATGTCGACACTGAACCCTCTCGTGATCAGCTAAGTATTCTCTTCGCATGTTCTAATCTCCGTCTAACGAAGTCGCAGAATCAGTTTTACTTTCACTCTTTTTTATAAGTACCCTTCCCAGCAATTGCTGGATATTCGTGTTAATGCACGAGATTCGGACTAAGAATCAACGCCCACAACTGTCAACGCCGTGCAGTCTGGAACGGCCAAGTATCGCAGTTTGGTTACCACTCCGCCGGCAATGCATTACCCGTAGTCATCATGCGGATTTCCGTCCTTCTTTCGTTCTTTCACTGGTGTCGCGCCTTTCGCTCGCTATGATGCGCGTACACGTGAACTATCGAGGAGTAAGATGAGTGACAAGGCCGATTTGGCGAGGCGCGAAATGATGAAGTCCGAGGTCCCACGTACGTCGCGAATCGTAGGAAAGCGCAACCCCGATATCCCGCCGTCGGCTGCCACAGCCCTCTTCATAATTTCCGCTCGGCCCCTACTGCTCCCGGTACAACACAACCGTATGTATTTTCAGTTCTTGCAGTATGCAATATACAGACGACCCGGTTCTACCCACTCTCAACGCTCATCACTGACAGCGGCGCTGTCGTGCTGAAGTGTCGATACGTCAGGGCTTGGATGACACGCCGCGGCAAACACCGTGAAGTAAACTGGTGGCAGGAGTCCGATTTCTACGAAGTGCCGAATTGCTGAGGAGACGGGAAGATGGGAGCTGGGCAGGGGCTCAGATAAGTCGCTTCCATAGTCTCGTGTAGAATTCAAGACATCGTCTCCCACCTGAATGTCTGTTCTAGCCCGCGTGTGATTCCTGTGCACATTGTGTCTTCTCAGTGCCCTCTACTGTCGTACACATCCCCATAGAATCGAAAGGTCCAACGTCCGAAGCGCTTTTCTTCACAGCATAGCATAACAATGCAGGGCATCGGGATAATGGCGCCTTTAACGGAATGAAATTCTGACGAAACAATGCAACAGGGTGTTCTGCACGTCGAGGGTGACGGAGAATAGTTTCAACTAGCATCAATCACTTGAGCAGTACATAGCGAGGTCGTGAGTACCATCGTACACACATCACATCGATGCGTGAGGCTTGCAGAGAACGCACAAAAAAAAGCAAAAAAATAACATTGAAGTGGTCAGTACGGGGGTCGAACCCGCGACCTTGGCGTTTGGGGTTATTAGCACCACGCTCTAACCAACTGAGCTAACCGACCTCTTGTGATTTGATTATATAATTTTTTGAAAGTTAAACACTATCTATAGATAAAATATATCCTGAAAAGACTACTCTGATGTTCTCAGCTTCAGTCACGCATCCGATAGTTCTAAAAACTTTGCACAGTACCCCGCATTGCCCCACCGTGCACTCACCAAACTATACGCCAGACCATGCTAATACTTGCCGCCGCACTAATTTTCTTGCACTATTCTGCGGGTCGTGTACCCTGACAGATTTCAAGATATGATACCACTAAACGGCTTTGCATTGGTGCGCTTGTTTCACGAACTTCATCAGACCCGAATTCAATCGCTAAAACGCCTTTCTTCTGTTATGCATAGTAGTAGACAGTTGAAGCATGAAATCTAACTATCGCGATGGCCAAGCATACCAAGCATGTCGCGCGAATCCAATCCATCCGTCCCTACGCCAGCCCGTCATCAAACCCATCTCACGAACGCGCACCCCTACGCGGTCATCCTTCCGCCATGACTCATTCCATGAACCGGGCCCACCACTCCCGTTTGCTGCTTCTCCACCTCCTCGTTCTTCCCATGAAACCACCAAACCCCCAAACTAGCAATGAAACTCAACACCCCCGCCACCACATAATTCCACACCAAGTTCGGATCCTCACTCAACGGCACAAGCGCTTGTGAAACCGCGCTCCCACCCACCCCAGTGAGGTAAATCACTGCCAGAACCAAGCTGCGCATATTCGTTGGTGTTTCCGAGTATGCGTACTCCATGCCAGTGACGACGGCCAAGACTTCGCTGTTTGCGAGAAGGACGTAGACCGGAAATTGAAGCCAGACGCTGAGCTTGGTGTTCATTATGTCGGATGCGCATCGATTAGCGTATTTCCCGCAGGTACTGGTGCTATACACGAAGTGCTGAATTGTGGCGGCGACTGCCATGCTCGACGCAGCCGAAAGAAACCCTTCGGCAATGCGGCGACTGCCATGCTCGACGCAGCCGAAAGAAACCCTTCGGCAATGCGGCGAGGAGGAGGGAAGCGGAGGCCGAGACGGGCAAGCGCTGGGTAGTTAAGGTGGGCGTACAGGGGCGCGAGGATGACACAGAAGACTGGATTGACATTTTGAAAGATGTCGTTAGGGAAGCCGCCGAGATTCATGGTTGCGGCTTGAGAGACCATATTTGAGCCCATTTGGCGTAGCGCTGGCCCTATAAGGAGTTAAAAACTATTGCACGGAGGAGGAAAGATAGTTACGTACAGAATAGAGGGTATCAGCAGAAGCATCGGCACGCTTTTAAACCGCCACGTACCTCATCCACCCAAGAGTCATCGAAGGTCATCCAAGGGGGTCAATTCGCGATGCGGGATGGCTTGATGCGATTCCAGAAGTCTGGATGTTGGATGTTGCGATAACTGTTTAGCATCAGCTGGAGCCGCATGCAGATTTGACGCGTGACTTACACTCGAATTGGGTTTCGGAACCACTGTCCCTCCATAGACAAAGTGCAAAGTCGGAATGCATTGCATAACGCGGATCTTGATGGAGGAGGGCTTGCGCACGACTTGCGATGGTTGTATAGGATCCAGGGATATATCAGAAATATGATTGATGGTACAGCAAACGACAGCCAGAATCCAACGTACTTTCCTAACATCGTGACGGGTTAGCATTACAACAAGCTTTAGAGAGCCGTGATCTGCAATTGTGTTCAACTTACCGTAGACACCATGGAAACCATGCCAGCAACAGAGCCAATATGGATGAAAGTGTAAAAGTATAAAAGTACGCGCTCACGTGTTGCCGTCGTATCTACGATCACGCGTTGACCATTCTTTTGAGTGACAACCCTAAGTTTGGTATCCGGAATCTGTTCGACTACGAGCGTTGCGATGTTCGGTCTAGATGCTGTAAGTTGACGCAATAGCCGCGAGTGGAAATTTTACACACTTGATGCCTCCAAATCCAAATCCAATCAAAATAACACCCAGCAAGAACGGTATCAGAGCTCGCTGTGGATGAATGATAATTGAAGGCACCGCCGAGATGGTGAGGACAACATATCCAAGGATGGTCGCCAAATTGGACCACTGAAGCGTCTTGTATCGTCCGAGGAATTGGTCCGCAACCACAGCGCCGAAGAGAGCCGCAATTGACATCCAGAGACTAGTTGCTGCAAAGGCCGTGTCAGTATTGAACTCGCTATACACTTTTCTCGACTCACAAGGTAATAGCTGTCTATAGGTCCGGGCGAGGAGTCAGCGTAAGCTTTTACAGAGGGTCTTGACGTCCAACGTCTTGCACTACCAAGCGGTGCTGTTCTGCAATATCTGATGCGTTCGCTCCACGATTACGTACTGACATCCTTTGATCCATCCCCAAGGCGCCAGATTGCCCTTGAAACCCAGCTCCAGTCTTTGAATTCGGCGGCAGAGGCTGTTGAAGAAAATTCATGACTACGAGACGATTAGCAGACTGTGTCATGAAGATGACGTGTATTGCGCACAAACGACGAAGGCTCCATTAATTGAGAATCTCTCAAGCATTTCCACGATAACGATCGCGAAGGCAGCCCAAGGTATTCGCCCAGGAATGCGACGCAGTTGGCAAAGCTCATCGTCGCTAGGCGGTATTTCGGCGGCTGCGCGCCCATCTGCGCTGGCTTCTGGCGTGCCTACACCTTCATGTTTGTCTGAGATTCCAGTGGATGATGAGTTCCCTGTTCTTTTCTCGAGCTGTGAAGCCATCGACCTCATATCCGACACTGTCGGGATGGCCACCGTTGACCCACGACGAAAACGTGTAAAAGTAGTGAAGGCCGACACGAAGTTCCGCAATTATGCAGAACATCGGCATGTTGTATCTTTCAGCCTAGATTGGACGTTGCTGAATACTGTTGGTTGACAACCCAGGATGGAAAAGAGGGGTTGGATGCCGTCTTTGGTTCAAAGGCTCAACGGCCCATTGTGTTGGAATCTGACCACCAAAAGCCAAAAAATGCCACAACTCATACTAATAAAAAACCCAACACTTCTAACATACATCGGGATGATAGGAAGGGCTGACGGAGCTTCACTGGGCCTTCGGCTTTTCATGACCGGGCCTCGACGACCAGAAGTAACGGGTGAATCGGACCCGCCACAACGGAGTGGTGAGTGCAAAGTACCGAAAATTGAAAAGGTGGGAAAGGGTTTGTGGAAACGTGGGTATCAATATTGACTAGTACAGCGAATACCAAATGTGTGCATAACGCGATCGACTGAAGACGGATCGACTACCCGTTGTAGCCTGTCACTTCGAAGATCGAAAAAGGATCTCTCGTGAGAGTATGCGCAGCATACATAGAACTGTCAAACCGAGTTAGCCTCGCCCGGTCCATGGGAACGTTGCGGTATGTGCGTGAAGGGCTTGAACCAAGAAACGCCTACCACCACAACGCCGTACCTTCTGGAAGCTCATCACTCCATTACATATATCTCCATCATTCTCTCGGTCACGACCTCCCTTTCGCCCCCCAGAGCGAATCCTTCCCTAACCAGTCCTTACACGGCTTATCCCAAGGCAACCTTTGCTTCTCACACTGAGACAGGTTGTAGAAGTTCCAAGCCGCAAAGCAGACAGCACTAAAAGCCGCCATGGTAAGAATTATGAGAAGCGTGACGAGAAGGGCTCTGCAGAAGCCACCGTGAGGACGGCGTGTGCGAAGGGTGTGGTGATGGTGGTGGTGGACCTCGATGGCGCCATAGCCGCCAGGATAGGCGGGTGGTTGAGCTTCAATGACGACTGTCTCTCGTGGCTAGCAGATGTCAGTACACACCTTATGAACAGCGCTGTGCATTGCATACCGACATGTTGGTGATCAGGATGAAGGTGTTGAGATCAGCACTGGAGGTTGTAGGCGTTATCGTTATCGCATGATTTCCTCACAAGACTTAGCGGAGCACGTGAGCACGTGAGGCCCCGCGAACCCGTGACTTCAGGGCCAGCTAGACGCCATGCTTCCAAGGTTCGCTCTGAACTTTCCTCCGATTTGGGTCTCGTCCGAACACCAGGTTTTGATCACGCGCTGCGCAGCTGACAGGCAAGGATAACGACGACTCGCAGCGATCTAGGAGACGGTGGAGACTCCGGAGCCAATTGTGGGCCCGATCAGGGACGACTCGCATCGCTTTCATCCGAGACAGATCGGCCGAGCTTCGGTCTCGCAATCGCACTTCGTGTTGTTCCCACCATAGGATCTAGCCAGAGACGGGTTTTCTGTTAAATTTATGTGTTTTGTAAATGATACCTTGCAACATTGAATGCTACCAACGACTTAGAACCTCCTAGTCCTCCGCCTGTCGGCAGATCGATGTGTGCCCACGTTACGCTACATGCCTTCATCTCACGTGGTGTATGCCCCCAAGTTCCTTCTCAGTCCAATCCCAGAGTTTCTCCGCCAGCTCATCGTCTTTCCCCTTCTCACTGGCTCCTCCTCCAATTCCAACGGGCTCATAATACTCGCCACTCTTGACATCCGTCGAGACTGATGCCCAGAGCTGGTTCTTGGCACCCTTCTCGACACTTGTCACAACGCTTTTTGCCACCCTCAGCAATACCCGGACAGCTATGGGTGACCCTGTTGCGCCGGCTGATAGGTTGGTTTGCACTACGCCTGGGTGAATTGACGCGAGGGTGAATTGGGGGTAGAGACGCGACATCTTGCGTACCCAGAGGACCATTGCCAGCTTGCTTTGGCCGTAACGCCCGTAAGGCCCCAGGGCATCGCCATCAGTCTTAAGCGTATCGAAGAGGATGCCTTGTTTTGGTGCATAGGTGTGCCCGTAGGATGTGAGCATGATAATCCGGACGTCTGTATTGGGCATGTTGGCGGTTGTTGAGAGGAGTGGAAGTAAGGACTTTGCCAGAAGCGCATGGCCCAGATAATTCGTTCCGAATTGAAGCTCGTACCCGTCTTTAGTGAGACCTGGGGGAGCCGCCATGATGCCAGCGTTGAGCATAAGAATGTCCAGACGATCAA